GCGAAACGTTGCCCAGCAATAAATCCACCGATGGATTACCAAACCCCGCTGAAACGATGACTTCCCAATCGGTCCCAAACATTTTCCAATTGATTGAAAAGGTTGTTCCTTTCAACGATCAGAAAGATGGACTGATTATATGGGAAGAACACAAGTCCTCGTCTATGTAACCCAACAACGTTTGGCGTGCCTGTAACCGCGTCCACAGAGAGCAAAACACTCACCCAGATGCCACAAATTGTCCAACACTCCAAGTAGATGACTCGTCAGCTGGGTGTCTCCAACCAGGTCCGTAGATTCGATTAATCTGCACAAGACGCCGAGAAGATGGACGCGAGTCTCACACTCACTGACATCCTGCAGCAGAGATAAAGGTGTGCGGCACCGGTTATTCACCCAAATCAACAGAGGAACACTGTAAATTATGTGTCTCCACGTTGAAGGAATGTACTAACCTCGATCTGGAATGAAAGTCTGAACGAGAGGGCAACATCGGTACGAGCAACGCACCGACAATGTCAACTTGCCTGGCCGTCTTCATCATTATCGACAGTACTGTCGTACAACTAAAGTTTATTGAGAAGCCTTATTGCGGAGAAAGGAATAAAAGCGAATGAGGGACGGACTTAGTGGTAGACTACCGCAATCATTACGATAGCTGGGCAAAAAGGAATCTGGGCGGTGGTCTTGGACTGGACACGAGATGCGCGGGCGCTCATCGCGTGTAAATGCTGATCAGGTGTGATTTAGCAGAAGGGTGTGAAAGAGATTAGAAATCGTACAGTCCGTCAATCAGGATGCAGTGAATCTGCCTGCACTCAGCTAGACACATTGCACGAAACAGCGGCTACACGACGTCGAGGTATTGGTCTCTGTCCAGGGCGTTTGGATCTTCGTCCGATCGATGTACGGTGCGGCATACCAAGTGTACGAATGTCTATTGCTCAAAAACTGGGTGGTAGATATTCTGAAGCAGCACTGGAAAAGGGTCGGTCACAGTGTGATTACGAGCTCAAGATGGCTCAGTGGTCAGGACGCGGATTTGCTAACCAAAATGTCCGTGGCTCGAACCCAACCGCGGCTTGAATAACCTGAAAGTATGTCCGCCTTCACGTGGCATGTCACGGTGCTGTCATTGATTCTAATTAGCATTTTGTACGAGACGAAGCTGTCAGCCGGTTCGTAACGAAAAACAGAAACAAATCGTATTCAGTCCATCCAATTTTCGCTTTAGTACCTGGCAGCTATCCGTGTCAACCTGTGATCACTGGGATGTTGAAAGACCACCAGGTTATATATTATCGTAGAGCATTAGCATGATATGCTAAAGAGCAGATGTGCAGCGGTCTTGAGGGATCTCAAGACCTCAATGGTCATTGAATGATCAGCATCGACCCTCATGGTGTAAGCTGGTTGGCAGCTTCTAACACGCCGCCGGTCACCAAGGTCGAAATCGATATCCTACGTAACTGAGTACACCCGGTTCCACACAAATGTGCAATAGTTTCTAAACAATGTCGGCCGGCAAATTCGTTTCGGGCAGCAACAACTTGCCACCACCTCTGTAAGGGAGTTCACAGATAGATAACATCAAATGAGGAACCGCCACATGGTCACAAACCTCGGCTACAATTACTCAGACTCAGCTGGGTTTCAGGTGAGTCTCTCGCAAAATAAAATTCATTCGCAACTGACTGTATTTCGCTAATTTCGTGCAATTTGGTTTCACGTAGAACATAAGATTGACGGAAACTAGGGGACTTTGCATACCTGATGAGCCCCAAGAAGGGCCAAACCGGTCGTGGGCTATCGACGGATTTTCAGCAACCTCATGAGTAGTACGTTACGACTAAACTCGCTACCACCTCTGCAAGGGAGTTCACAGACAGACAACGTCAAATGAGGAAACGCCTCATCGTCACAAAACCCGGCTACAGCTGTCTGAAACGAACTGACATTGAAAATTACAACCAGATATAGTCATTTAAAAGCACTGTGTGACTTCTGCACTAACTTGAATCAATTGTACCAGGTTGGCAAACAGGGCGTGCAAGTGAGGTGCGACGCTTTCCGAAGGAAACAACGGCTGACCGAGAAGCCATGACAGAGAGTTCGCTGCGGCCAATCGCACACACAACATCGCTTTAGGTTCGATTGCAAATGGCGGACTAGTTCCAAGGAATTGAACCAGCTGGGCGGTCGCTTCGCAACACCTGGAGGTGACACTAATAAAGCACGAGAACATAGATTGGGAGTAGAAATCTGTGGCACGAGACAGCGAAGTCAAACAATGTTCTATCACCCGCGAAGAGTAGGATCGATGTTAAGACTAAGGTCTACAGTAAATTAAAGAAAAAATGCACTTCAGTATTCAGATGGGTTGGTTTCTACGTTTATTACTGGTGAAACTAACTCAAAGGTCCTTGGCGAGGAGAATCTTTCGGCCTTTTTTGGATTGGGCGGCACTGCTTAGTGGAAGTGTACTTGAACTGTAATGCAG